CAGTCAATACAGACACTGTACAGATACCGTACAGATGTTAGCTGTAAGCTAGCTGGCACAGACACAGCATGTTAATTAGTGAGCCTGTGCTGGCAGGTATTATTTTTTTAAATATATTTTTGGGGCTTTTTGTGCCTTTATTTGATAGAAGAGGTGAAAATGAACCGGAAAAGGTGGGAGACAGAGGGGGAATGAGATGCAGCAAAGGACCCTAAGGACATTTAGAGCTCTCTCTACCAGGTGAGCTAGGCTAGACGTTCCCCCCTGCTTCCATTGTTTATGCTAAGCTAATTGCCTCCAGGCTTAAGCTCCATTATTAACATTCAGAGTTAAGTGGGGTATCAATCTTGTCATCTAATCCTCAGTGAAAAGGTTAATAAGTATTTCCCAAAATGTTAACTATTCATTTAATAAATATATTATGGTGATTTTGAAACCTTTGTCGAGTCTAAGCAGCAATTTAGGTCACAGAATCTGATATTTTTGTTTTTGTGGAGTTTGGGCTGCAATTTCCTGCTTAAAATGCTGATTTGTTCTCTTTTCCACCGTGCACATGCCGTTCAGTAATTCCCGTCATAAACAACTGGGAAATCAAAAAACGGATAATGGGCAAAATGTATAAATGTCCTAAAACTGAAACCATGCCACAGAAAAACACAGATTTCTGAAAAAAACAACATTAAAGGCATGATGTGGTGTATATGGCTTCTAAGCAACTCATTCAGGTGTAACACCAAACACCAAGGGTTTCATTAAAAAGATGCTTCCACACAAATGTATTTTAATATATGCACACCTCAGATGAATGTTAAGTGTGTTGCATAAATTCCCTCCTCCTTGCTAAGCTAATGTATGAATGGACTGTGTGTGGACGTCCCTGTGTGGGTATTGTGAGATAGCGGACGGTTCTGTTCAGAGACACCAACAACACACAGAGAGATCAAAGTTCTGCTCCGGCCTTGGTTCACTAACCCCAGTAATGGTGCGTTTCTGCTGCGCGGTCGGTGAGATGTGTGATGGCAGAAATGATGTTGACTACAAGCATACATGCTTGTTTTCATGCACACAAACTCTGCAGTAATATCTGTATGCCAGGGGCGGATCTAGAGAATTTTTTATGAGATGGTCAGAGGGTTGTGTGGAGACTTTAAAGGGTGGAAGAACTACATGCTGATTTAATTTCAATCAATATTTGCTTGCAAAAGCCACCAAATGAAAATTCTGAACATTAGTAAAGTGTTAAATTTCAATCAAAACTGGATCTGCCCTAGCTGTCTGCAGTAGGCGATTTTTAGGGGGGGAAGAGCGGGGTGATGCCACACTCCTTGTTAGCAAAATGAACAAAATGCCATCCCTCCTCTCCATCCCCTAGTAGCAGAGGGGTTGTTAAGTTGAATGTGTTCGTCTACGCTGCCTGACTCACAGGTTCTTTATCTGACTGCAGGTTTTCAGGCCCAGTCCATTGTTCTGTGATATCAGCAGTCTAACTGTACTGTGTATGTCGCTGTCCTTGGTGCTGAAGTCGGAGACAGATTTCTAATTGCATCTTTTTCTCTTAGTCGTGTCCTTCTGTCAGTTTTGTCTTGGATGAACTACGTACTCTAAAAAATCAATTCTATAGTAGCCTGTATACATTACTCTATGGAAAAGCATCACCTTTATGAGGGATAAGTGGCAACATACTCACGGAAGAGCGAGAAGATCATAGAGACACAATAATGCCCATTATTCCAATATTATTTCTTTGATCATTCAGTGGTGTCCATGGTGCTGACAATACACTCCCACACCCATGGGGGTTTGCTAACCCGAACCCTACCATAGAGCTTTAGGTTTATGTGGAGATTAGATATCAGGGGAGCTCATTCAGCCTGTTTCTGTCTAATACCCAATAACTAAATAGCCTCTGTTTAATAATTAATAATAATCATTTATTTACAAAAAGTTCTAATGTCCTTGCGGCAGTGGCCATGGGTTCAAGTTCAACCTGTGGCCCTTTGCTGGGTGTCATCTCTGTCTCTCTCTTTCTCCCTTTCCTGTTTATCTTTAGCTGTCCTGTCAAAATAGGAAAATAAATCCCTTTAATTTATATTTATATTTATATTTATATTTAATATACATAAATAATACTTCTGATTTCAGTGTACTAATGCACCTGGATGTTCCCACCAGTTTGTGTTACATGATACCGATGATGCCTTGATCACATTGCCATTGCTATATCGCCACCTAGTGGTTAATCGCCATCATCACCACTTGTTGAGGCTGGAGAGGAGTGTTTTTATTCCTTAGGGAAACTATTTCAGTTGAATAAGAAATCATTTAAATGGTCAGTAAAGCTAAGTTGAATCAGTTGCTTGTTCGTTGCTTAAGCAGTTTGTGATCAGTTTAAAAACTAATAAAACAAAGTTTGCTTCAAAATACACAATAAGAGTCCCAATTTCATACTACACACTGATTCTGAGCATGTTCAGGAAGGAAAAGTGACTCGTAAACATCAGCATGCACACTAAAAAATGCTTGATTTTAGTGTGGAAAGGTTACAGATCTGTGAAATATGGTGAAAAAAATAAGTATTAAATCTTTAGAAAAACATTTTCTCTTTGTGGAGTTGGTCAGTGACAGTCCAGGTCGCACACTGTCTCCTAAATACTAATTCTATACAGGATAATATACATACTATACATACTAGTATTATTATATTGTTGTAGCACTTAGTACACACAAAAATCTACATTCATAACTGCTTTATGCTAACAGGAAATGCAACTTTGGGCTGTCGCTGCCTATTAAATTTCATAAATATACATCAAAATGTTTTTCCTAAGACTTAATACTTATTTTTTGTCGGAGCTGTCTCTCTTGTATTGTGAGAGAATAGTCTGAATCAACAGCACATTGAAAAATAAACTGTATTCAGTATGCATATTGTGTGCTTTCTGTGTATTTATATAAATGGATACATATTGTCACATTTTTAGTGTGAACACACCACTTATTAACACCTGCTTAGACTCATTATAGTGTACCATGACACTTAATATTATGTGTGCAGTAACAGTTATATGTATAGAACTGGGAATCAAAAGAGAATAGACTGACATTAAAGGGTGAGTTCATCCAATTTAAAACAAAGACTTTTTTTCTCATTTCTGTTTTTTGAAAAATTACATCTAAAAAATTCAACAGCAACGTCTCTTTCCAAAATAAGTGTCCTTGTTGCTCTGGATAATTTACAGACCTCACTGAGGACAGTTTTCATGGAACAACTTTCTATCAAAGAAACAGTCCCCATAGGTAAACTGCTGATATTGTGTTATGTGAATCAGGCAGTGAAAACAGGATACAGCTGCTGGAAAGAGGCAAACTATTCAATTGCTGTTTGTTGTTTCAGGTTGAGGTGAAAATTAATCCAAAACTATCTCCAGATAAGTGAGAAAATGTGTTTTCTGTAACTTGGGTGACCCTTTTTGTTGACATGCATCCTCATTTCATTAAGAAGGTGAACCTTTTGTTTGTTAAGACAGTAATTTATTGAGGCACTTGACACAAGCCATGGAATGTACAAATCAAATACAACAAATTTAAGGTATTTTTCACATTCTTGCATCTGTAAACATGGTAAAGATAATACATTCTGACAGTTAATTCACATTGTACTGTGCCCCCCCCCCAACCCCCAATGGAGAGAGGAAAAATATCAACACCTCGCTCAGAGTAGTGTACAGTATACGACCGCTACGCAGAGTGTACAAAACAGCAGTGGAGCCAAATACAAAACTATTACCTGACCCCCATTACAGTAACTCTTCATTCATGAAGAGTGCACATCTGTCAGGAGTGGATCAGCGAAAAAAAGCAACATGTAGACAAGCTGCTCATGTGCTTACCTGAACTGCATCTATTCAGTCATGTCACATAATGTGTGTAAGAGGTAAGTAAACTGGGGATGAGGCATCTAAGTCTATTTAGCAGCACAAGAACACTTCTCTACTTCAGAAAACTGATCATTATTCAATAAATATATAAATACATTGTCTATATTTTTCGCAGGCATGCTTACAGACAGAATCCAAGTGTGTCTGTCCGCTTCGGCTAATCAGTCTTGAGAATGTAAACTTGAATGTGTTGTGTATGTATAATAGTTGTATTTATGCTCCTTGGCAATCACAAAAATACACACTAGTTTATGTATATCTTTTCATTTTTTGTTGTCTTGTGGCGCTCGGTTGTCAAAATGTCTGCGTACATGCCTGCTTTGTAGACACTTCATAGGACAAAATCAAACATTTCAGGTGTGTGAAGGTGGATAAGGCTGCTGTTGGGCTACTGTTCATTAATACATAGAGAATGAGGCTTGAATGTGAAAGCTACAGCTCAAGTTTCAAAAAGCTTTTTGGATGTCCATACACCCTGTTGTCCTCTAGTGGACCTGGGCCTCACAAAACTAAACATCTAACATTAAACAGCTGGCTCAGCTGGTGCTCACATCCGTAAGGGTTGGTGTCAGTAAGGCTGTAGTCAAAGGAATACACCACCAAAAGCATAGGTTTTGAGTATCAAACTCTTTTTGTAGGTTTGTTTGAAACACCAAATATGTCAAAATGTTGGTGAATACAAGTTCACAGCTGCAGTGCCACCAAGATCATGTCCTCAGCCTGAGGAAGCTGGGTTTTTCTTTACCAGAATTATATTCTTGGCTATGTGAAAAAGGCCAAAAAAATAAAACTAAAAACATGGAGTTTTTAACTGGTTATGAAACTGTCTAAATGTAATACTGATGCCTCTATAAGACCTAGATAAGCATCAAGAACGTCAGCAAGACTGGGTTGGATTTGGTCAAATTCCCCTTGAAATAAGTGAAACAAGGTGGTGGAAACATTACCTCTTTTGTCCACAGGGGACGCCAGAATCAACCAAAAAAATTAAGTTCATTGTTGCTGCTTTAAAGTTCCAGTGTGTAATATTTAGTGGCATCTAGCGGCGAAGTTAAAGATTGCAACTCACTCGTTTCACCCTCCATTCCCGACCACAAGTTACGTCCAAAGGCCCTAGCTAGTAACTGATTACAAACTACTGAAAACATACTTATAAATAATTTTTTTTGCCAATAGATCCTCTTAAATGTTACACACTGAACCTTTAAATTAATAAAGTCAAAAAAGAAAAATATCAGACATTTTACAGTTCTTATCTTACTTTTTGCATATATCTTGGAGGGCAGGGACACTGGAAGTATTAGGACTCATGAGCCCAGTATTTCTAAAATCCTGTGCGGTAACAAAGTTAAACAGCTGTAAAAAACACTGTGTATTCAGCCACATTTTTGAGAAACTATGATTGTTTGATGGTTGATTATGCTGCAGCAGACATGAAACTGGGTCAGTCCTAAAGGCGGTTGGTGTTTGACACTCAAAACATAAGTTTCCTTTAAGTAGTTAAAACTTGGTAAATTGATGCTTAGGCTACTGTAAACCAACAGCCATCGTGTCCCAGATTGACTGTTGTGTCTCCTGATGTTTGGTATTTATGTTGTAGTTTGTGGCCTGGTGGTGAGAATATGGCCACATTATCACAGGTTTGATAAACACTGAGATTTTTTCCCCCTTTATGCTCTGTATGAGATCTTTTATCTCTGTCAGGTCATGGACAAACAGTTTAAAACCCCATCTTTTATACCGGTGTAAATGCAGCCAATTAGCCCGTCCCGTTCTGTGGGGTGAGGCTCTCCCAGGGACAGATGATCTCTTTGGCTCCCACTCCTCCCCGGGAGGCAGCCCTGTTCTCCTCCTCCTCGTCTTCGGACTCTATGGGGTAGATACGGCACTCTGGAGGAATATCCACTTTAATCTGGAAAAAACTGTGCAAGGTTGCAGAGAGGACTTTGTGAGTCTATTATGTTAAAATACATTTCTGCTCTGTTAGCTCTATCCAAAACTTTGCAAACTTAATTTCTAGCAGATTAGGCATAGGATGTGCATTGCTGCCTCCTGCTGGTTAAAAAAAAAAAACGCATTTAAGCTTTGCAAATAGAAATGATGTACAATACATTTATTTGCATATAGAGCAGGGAAGTAAGATACGATCACAAGTGGTTACTCAAGAGTCATGTGGAGCCATTTTAAGGCCAGAACTGACATACTAGCTATCCACTTGTGATCGGATCACACAATACGCGAGTTAGTGCCAGGTGTGAACAGGGCCACTCACTTGGCAATCCGTCTGGGCGGAGCCTGACTGGGTTGATCCGGGCTGATAGGCTGGATTCGACTACTTGTCCCAGCAGCTGAGTGGCATTTCGGGGACAAGCTGGCGAACATGGTGGAAGGGGTGCAGCCACGCTTCAGCAGACGACGTAGGGACAGAGCCATGCGAGACCTGGAGACGTTGCCACCTACCGGGCCTCGAGCTGCAGGGTTCCCCTCGCCTTCTCCTTCACTGGCCTCCACTCGCCGCTCAGAGGCCGAGGTGCTGTCCAAGGCCACGCTGATGGGGGAGGGACAAGCCGGGGTGTGGGCCAGGAAAGGGAGAGAGGGCGAGGCGGTGGCAGAGGGGAAGTCAGAGATGCCAGAGTAGACGGCGAGGTGGGGGACAGGAGTAGTGAAGCGGCACAGCTGTGAGGTCAAAGGGTAACAGACACAAGTCAGAGGGCATCAGAGAGGGTGTGACTCCAGAAATATGTCCATTTTGGAAAACATTCAGCAGATGGTTCCCTCCATACATAACTATTAGCATGAGAGACATCACAGGCATTATGTATCTTATCATAACAGCATTCAAGGTACAAGGTCAAGTATCACAGTTACTCACATTCACTCTTATTTGTCAAAACGTTGAAGATTGTGGTTCATCATCAAGCCTTAATGAAAACTCATTGCTTGCTAAAGATAAGATGTACTGATAAACGTACCATTCTGTATTTCTGTGCCCGAGACATGACACGACATTATTAGAGCTCTCTTCAGAGTGGCAGCTCAGAGGAAGCAGAACTTGAACTTGCAGACTTGTTAAAGAGACATTTGTAACTGAGTGGGGAATGCTGGCTCCGACATGCTTAAAGGTCTCATAATTTAAAATCAGTCATTTAGTCACAGAAATTCTCATGCTGTGCTTCTTCTCCCCCAGTAACAGTTTATCTAATTTTCCCACAACAAATTCACATTAATCAAGAAATACTGATGTGCTTTTGATTGCTGTACAGCAACAATTGTGGAATTATAATCACACAAACCATTTAAAATGTCATACTCACTTAAAAACCATGATGTTCAGAACACATATAACAAAAGTACAGAGCAACCTCATATTAGAATCATACTTATAAAGCCTTATGGCTGGTTTTATAGGACATTATAATGCACTATGAAGAGTTAAAGAAAAATTAATAATTTTATGACTTTATTTATTTACATATTTTCAAAAGTAGCATAAACTAAACTATATCTGAATTTCATTTTACTATCTTGCATTGTTAATGACAATAACATACTTAAATTCTTGAATATTGTTTAATTTTGTTTGAAATGTTTTATATTGGTACTTTTCATGTGAAGGAAAGACAGAAAAAGAAATATTGGAGAAAAAAAAGACAGAAAGAAAGACAAATACGGGACAAAAGAAAGAAAGAAGTACCGAAAAAAGAAAAAGAAAAATACAGAGGCAAAGAAAGAAAGAGTCCCTGTCCAGTATTATTGCCAATAATCAGGTCAGAACCATCATCAATCATTCATTCACATCCTGAGGACAGTCCAGACAAACAGGCAGCATGACAACCAAACTACATGAAAACAGCTAATGAATGACAACTCAAGACAAACAGATAAACATGAGGCGGTTTGTGTGTGCGTGTTTTATTAGCTCATGACTGATGACAAAGAAAACATACAGCAAAATACTAATAAACATACAGTCTATGAGTGAAGATGGACAACACAACACATGTATTATGAGAAACAACATTACAGACGACAGCTTGTATGGACAGAAATGTAACAGATGATAACAGCTGGCATGATATCCTCCTCCTGTATAGACTGAGGTCTGTCTAATTAAAGGCTCAGTTCGTCCAAATCACAAAAACCGGACCCCTCGTATTGCTTTTATTAGAATTTCATTTAAATATTTCATGTATGTAAAACCAAAACGTGTGCAGGGCAAGATACCATAAGAGGTAAGTAGTGGGAAAATGTTTATGCAATGTGTTTTGTAAGTTGGGTGAACTGACCCTAATAATATAATAATAAAATAATATACTTCTACTACCTCATGTTCATATTTAACACTGGCTTTTAATACGCAACTAAATTATGACTGTATTTTAAGTATTGCACGTTCCCATTCCCCAAAAACTTTAAATTTTTCTGTTCTGCATCATGTGACAGCGGTTTGCAGGGTTGGATTTGGTTTGTGGCATTTCGAGGCTGAAACAGACACTAACTAGGAGTTTCCGCTGCATGTTACACTGGAAATAGATGTTTGTGATTGTTTGAGGCAGTTTAAAACATCATCCGTCAAACCTCATCCAGCAGACTCAAAACAACACTTGCTTTCATTACCTGGTGATTATAAGTACAATACGCACTCTCCTTTTAGCTCTATTTTTGGTGTCTACCAGCTCCTGAGGGAGTCTCTTCAGCTACTAAATGCTCCACTTTGTTCACCAGCTAGTCGCTAATTATTTCTGTCTGCCGTTTGTTGTTGAGCGGGTAGTGTACGAGGGTTTTTAGAGTTTTTTGGCTGAAAAAAAAAAGCTGCCTGCAACGCTGTAAGAGCGATGAGAGTAAACCAGTATAACAGTACTACAACAGTAAGGTTGCAGGCTGTAAACAAACAATAAGCTGAAAGATGCTATAAAGCTCCCTTTAGTTTAGGGAAACAGCAGTTATCTGTGGGTTCATCACTAGCAACCCCTTTCATATTAAGTATAGCCATCTGATCCATTTTTATTATAAAAAAAAATTCAAATAAAATGGCATTAAAATGTAAACATTGTCTTTAGGAAATAAACTACAGCTTTATTTAAATTATTCCACTAAATAATCTAATAGAATAAAATGAGAAAACACTAATCTTGACTAATTAGTAGGTAAAACTTATCGACATCACTGAACATCACTTGTTTGTGTTCAGTTCTTTTTAGGACGAGGAGGAGGAGGAGGTGCCTCCTTGCCCTGCTGGCTGAGTTTGGTCATGACCTGTGTGATGTCAACATTGGCGGCCATCTTGGCCTTCTGCTCCTCCTCCATCTGCCGGAGGATGATGGGGCTGAGACTGGGCCGTCTGTTCCTTGCATTCTGCTCCAACTGGGTGTCACTGGGAGACCACAAAGAGAGAGGAAGGACAGAGGAGAGAGAAGGATTGTCATTAATTGCATGGAAGAGAGAAATAGGAGAGAGATGAAAAAGATAGACCAGAGAAGAATGGAGGGGGAGGGAGAGACATGGTTAAAATTAAGTTTTGGAGAGTAATGGATGTGGTAGTTTCAGGATGTTACAGGGACAGTAATATCAGCCAGAGAGATGAGAAACAAACTTTATCAGACCAATGTCTTTCTTTTGCTCATCTGATGTGCTTTAAGTTCTGTATTTTTCCCAATTAAAGCAGTAGATAAGAGCTCAACGTTGTCTGAGTTCAATACAAAAATGTCACTTACGAGAACTTGTGCTCTTCAGGACAGATGGCCTTCTTCGTCGTCTCCTTAAACACTGGAGATTTCATGTACCGCCCGTATGAGTCCTGAAAAATATACACAAACCCATCATGAGTCAGTGGTGTTTGGCGATGGCGAGTCCAAGCTTGTGGGAATCATAACAACGCCATTATGTTGTGTTTGAACCCACCTACTGGTGCGTTTACTGACCTTCTTCATGAGCATGTAGATGTGAGTTTGGGCTGCGTCCAGGACGTATCTGTGCGGGTGTTTCAGCCCCTTCACCGTGACTTCCATCGTCTTTCCATCGATGTTAATCCACCGGGGTGCACCACGCGCCAGGAATGTCCTGAGATCACGGACAGACAGAAAGATCAGCTGTGTAACTAAGTACTTTACAAGGTTATTATCTTATCAATTCTACTTCATATTTCACCTTCACTACATTTCAAATGTATTCAGTTTCTACTGTTATTGTTGTTAAAAACAGAGAAAGGCAGCAAATCACACTAGAGAAACTGCAACCAGAGAACAATTTTATCTTAAAAATTCAAATGATTAATCAATTATAAAAATAGTTGCTAATTATTTTCTGTCAATCATTTAATCCACCAACTGTTTCTGCTCTCTCCAACCTCCACTGCTATCAGCATTCATCAGAGAGGATTAATATATTCTACACACAGAGAATAAATCAGGACATTACTTGTAGATCTGCTCTGCTTTCTCTCTCATCGTCGCAGCAGTGCCCCACTTCAGATCTTCGCAGCTTTCCCAGAATGCCAAGTTCTCACCTAAGACGGGTCAGAATAGAATAGAAAAAAAAAAAATAGAAAAATAAAACAAAGCTACTTCACTATTATTAGCCCCTTCTAATAGCTGAAAATTAACCAAACCAAAAATGACAATAACACTTGTGTAATCAGTGCCACTGCACTTATTTCTTTTGTACGTGATCTAATTAAAATAACCACCATCGTACCGCTGAATTCCTTCTTCAAGAAGAGTCTGAAATCATTTCGTCCTCGAGGGTCTGAGAGCAGCTCTCCAAAGCTGAACGTCCACCTCTCCACACGCATTTTGGTCGGTATTTCCACGCTGTTACACGCACAGAGGAAGAAAGTTATTTTAAGTGATACTCCAACATTCAGTTAAATCTCAGTGAATAAAATATAAATTATGTATCGTCCTCAGCTGACTCACTTCGGCATGTTCAAGGTCCAGTACGTGGCATCATCAGTGAGCCAGGGGTTGCTGGGAAGACACTTCAGGAGGAAAGGGTCGTGGTTGTTATAGGTGGCACAGTACTTCACCAATCTGCAAGAGCAGGGGAGAATAATTTAGATAACAGGCAAGAGACTTCTGACCTCCAGATTATTTTTAAAAGTAACCAGGAGTAACCAATTATGTTGATCATGCTACTGAATGGATATCTTAGAAAACATAGAAGAAGGTTAAGACACGGGTGAAAGAATAAGTGATTTAAGTGGCGTCAATCCAGGATTTGTTTTACATTCTCTTGCTGAATTAAAAAAATATACACATACAGTAAACCTAACACACTGGTGAGAGAGGCTAGCTCTGTGGTCGGGCTGGAACTGTATATTTTGTTATATAACTTGTATGAACTGTGGATCATAAAACTGATAAACTGTATAATTAACCCAAACAGTGAACGCAACAACTGCAGGAAGCTATTTGGATTCATTTTTAGCAGATTATTTCCTGTGATTATTACATCAGAGAGGAGTTTTCCTGATATTGTCAGAAGATGTTTATACAATTCTCTGTCTGTATTATGTTTGTATTTAACAATCATACATGCTTAATAGGTTTCTCTTCTCATCTGGCCATGACTTTTAACCTGTCCTATATTTGGTAAGAGGGTTAGTGGAAATGTGTGCATGCTATTTTGAGGCATACACTATATGATGACAAACTGGTTTGGCAGAGATATGAACAGACTGGAAATATGATGGACTAGCTTACGCGCCAATGGACACAGATGACTTCACTCTGGGCCTCATGATGGACTGCTGGGTGAAGATCATCTACAGGGAGCGGAAGAGAGACGTCAGCTACAAAAATGTCAGGAAAACAGATCTGTCTCTATGGATCACTGCTAATGATAAAAACAGCTGTTGGTTTATAAGAGACAAGATGAGGGAAAAATGTTTGAGATGTCATGAAGGGTGGAAAATAAAATCTCACTCACAATTCTCTCGTAGAAGTCGGGTGTTTTTGTCTGCGGGAGAAAATATATTAAATAGTTACAGATTGTATGTCACATCACAAAAAGTCAAATAAATAAAACTAATTCAAACAAATATAGCTACATCTATAAAGAGGGATGTTGTGCTGTTTGTATATGTGATATTTATGAGGACCACTGTGAGACAACAATTTAGAAATTAATTTAAATTATTAAATAAATTGCTTTTAAAAGATGCTATTTTATATTTTGTGACAGAAAAATGCTCTTTACATACATTGTATATTGGATCCCTAATTATTAATTGAGTGAGCAAAAGAGTAAAACTTTGTGCAGGAAGACAGTCAAAAGAAGCTAGTACCATTTTGCAGCTTAATAATACAAAAGGCGTTTCCTTTTGACACGTGGTCGTCCATTAAGTTTCAATTTTGGCCCTCAAAGGGAGAAACATATGCACCCCTGCTTCAGAGTGGGAACATTTTGGACAATTCCTACTTCCTCAAAGTATCAACATCGATGCTGCAAAATCACAGATATTTTCTTCTTCCTTGTCAAAACCTGATGCCTACATTACCCATAATGCAACTTAACTGCAGACAGACACGAGCCAGTCTCGAAACGCTTCGGAACAATAGAGACTGAGGACTTTCTCCCAACAATTTTCAGGGTTTTTGCAGATCCAAAGTCTTTAGGGTGGTGACGTGGCGCTGACATGTGGAAAGTTGCGTGCTTGTAAACACTGTCAAAGGTCGTACCAACACTGCTTCGTGCATTTTCAATGCTTTAAAAAGCTCTCTCCGTTTTACGTTCTCGTCGCCATTAAGGCAACTACTTTTCCAATCGTCAGATGTTGTGCAGCTTCCTCTAGAAAACAATAATAGGCTTTAGACTATGTATTTCATATATGCAGTTGTACCCCCTAAGACCTGTAAACCGACTTTGGTTCCTCTTAAATCTTGGAATTTGGTTTAGGTCAAGGTTACGTTGAGGGTTAAGCATGTAGTTTTTGATGGTTGAAAGTGGGTTAAGACAGAGGGAATGCAGTATGACAAGTCCAAACAGGGAGGTTGTGTGTGTCTCTAACCAGTTTAAAAGTCTGACTACAAAAAGAGGACCATGGGAATTCCTGCAGCAGAGAAGAGAAGAGAAGACAAGAGAAGAGAAAAGAAGAGAAGAGAAAAAGAGATGAAGATTAATTTTAGTGAAAGATAAGTTTAATGATTGAAACAGCAGACAGGAAAAGGAAAGATTAGCAGCCTTTACTGCACCTGCATCCGTGCATTAAAGCCTCTTATTGAATATAAGCTGATTGACAAGAATTATATTCAAACAGGTCACAGAGACTCACCTGTTACCTCGTCTGTGTTAGGATCTATTCGTCGATCCAGTCCATAGTCCATGGCGCTCACTGTCCCCGGCTACACACAAACACACAAACCAAAGACTCATTAATTAAGGCAGATGGCCGTTTTATAATGCTAATCACCGTAGGCTGCTAATGTGTCACACTTTTCCTGACCATCTGACACAACAAGAGGCACTGTAAATTCAGTGTTGGACATTACAAATACAACTTACACCTATACAGAAGGAGAAAATAAAAGAAACATTAAACACAGATGGGCTACTCTTCCTCAATCACACATTGACCCAAAAAACACATTTTCTCAGGCACTACTGTCAAACTGGGGCACTTGAAACACATTCAATTGTTATTCAAGTGTAGGCCTAATGGATTTAATATGCAATGATATTTTCTTTTAAAAGAGAGGTGCAGGTGAAGAAGATTCAATTAAATTCATTACAATGGCTGTCCCAGTTTGCTAATATTGTTAAACTGGGACAGTGTCAGAATGGCATTTTTTTATTCTGATTCACTATCTCATGACAAAATATATAACAAACAAATGTAAAAAACTTTTAAAACATTTTTATAACCATTATTCACCTCAGAACACAATATCATTTCACTTTCCGTCACAGTTGACTGCAAAGTTGCTGAATATGGCATGCCACGCCCCCGAAAGTGATGTCATAGCCACAAAACATATACTTTATTATCACATACTGGTTTATGATGAGCTCAGCATTGATTTTTAGTAATGTACACATGTAAAGATAACACTGAGGAAGTTCAACACTTTACCAGTAGTCACTCTACATCCTGATTTTTATGCACTTTGAATGCAAAAGGAAGAAAAGTTATAGAAAGTGTCCTTTCCTAATAATGCATCAAGAAAAAGTGTAAACATTTTCTATATAAGAAAAAATTAAGTACTAAAAAGCAAGTTTCTGTAACTCCTTCACCTCCTTCAATAAAACCACAGCAAAACAACACGCATAAACAAGAACTTGTACCCAGTGTTACAGTATCAACACAATGTGACCTGCAATAATAAATGTCTGGGCCTCAAGATTATGTAACAAAGCAGGAGCTACATTAAGGCATGTCAGTTGATATTTGCTTCAGTGGAACGGATGTCCAAACAAATACTACTTAATCAAATTACCAAAAACCAAATGACACATGGTGCACCTGGGTTCTTTCAGGGACCCTGGAGGTTCGGGGAGCAGTTTCCCCACGTAGCCTGGTCACTAATCCACCCTCTCGGAAAACAGGGTGAAACTGAGACTCACAATGCCGCAAACACGAGGTGCAAACCGCTGCACCAGATTCTCCTACGCAGCGTGAAATATTAATCAGTGGTGCCCTTTTCCTCTGACTGGACATGTAATGGTAATGAGGCATCATGGGTAGAGATAATTAGATACCCTGGGAAGTATAGAGGTGGAGTGCAATTTATTTTCAGACTTCTCTGTCTGCTAGCAATCCACTGATAACTATCTGTGTGTGCGTTTGTGTGTGTGTGTATTCTCACCGGTGGTCTGTGAACCACCCAGTACGCTCTCTCCTGGCACTCAAACACCACACGGTCCGGTTTCTTCCTCTCCTTTGCAGCCCTAAAAAAATAACACACAAAGAGAATCGTAACACCTCCTTGATCTGAACACTGAGCGATGCCTTCGAGTTTCTTAAACACCTACCTGTACTGCTCTTTAGCTTGCATCACAATGAAATCCCATTTATGATTCATCCACTTGTGAAGGCGGTTATATTGCTCCTGAAGACATAAAATAACACCTCAGTAAATGCCAGCAAGCAAAATGAATTACACATGGGTCTCTCGGTCTCATTGTCACCTGCTCATGCAGCTCCAGTATTCCTTTCTTACGTATGTTTCTTTTCGCCAGATAGATTGCTGCAATAATGAAACATGCAGCAGTGTTAACTGAGTGTTGGTGTCAGGAGCGGGATATAAAAAACAACTAACAGTCACACTCACCGTAATCTGTATCCTCAACGGGCCACTGCTGTGTGGGCCAGAAATACGGTGTCTGGAAAAGACAAAAGACTTCATTTAGAGCCAAAATTATAAAAAGTTGAGATTTATATCACAAAACAAATAGTGAGCAAACACTTTTCTCCTTCCATCTGCCTTCTTTTCTGTGCTAATAGAAAATTATTTTACAGGAAGTTGCAAACATTAAAGTCCCCTGACACTAAAAAAAAAAACTTTTTTTTCTTTTCCTTGTTGGATGTTGATCTTCACTGTGCAGAATGATGTATGTGCATAGTTTGACACTGAAAGGATGTTTTCACATTCATCNNTTCTCTGAGCTCACTGAAAATCTGTTTTTAAGCCTATGATCATGATTTGTGTCACAAACAGTTTGGAAGTTAATCCTGGTCCAGTATGCAACTTATACAAGTGAGATGTAGAAACATGAAGCCACCAGTGCATAGACACTGAGAATGGACTTTACAGTGAAGTAGGAGACATCTTAGGAACTTTAGAAATGAACAAAATCTGCATATTTATAGATTCAGATATTTTCTATGAGGTAGAAGGAGTAGATGTCCTTTTTTTAATGTGGAAATTATACATTTATTGTGGAAACATTTATCAGACACACATTATTGTTCCAAACAGACTGTTTGTATATTTGTCTCATATATGTCTGGATGCAATCTTTAGGTTTAAAAGCTGGAATGACCTCAGTTCCTCCTCATTCAAATGTTCATTCTTCTTTTTTGCAAACCTTGGGACTTTGCATTTGTTGTCATTTATTTAGAATAACCAAACATTCACTGGTTCCAGGGTCTTAAATGTGAGTGTTTCTCTTTTTTATATCATCATGAATTGGATATCTTCGGGTTCTGGGCTGTTGGTCAAACGAGACATTGCTTTAGACACTGGGAAATGTGTTATAGTAATTCTTCACTATTTTTTTTTTGACATTTCAAATACTTAAAGATCAATCTACTAATCAAAAAAAGGATGATGATGAGAACTGCAGCTTTTATTATGAGCTTAGAAGCTGCCATGTGCTTAAGCCAAGAAAGGCATCAGTGAAAAAAGCTATGATCATTATCACAGTACTACGGTTACAGCTGGCTGGCTTTTATATTCAATAAGTCAATATAATTATAGAACATATTTAAAGCCAACAAATGTTGACTAATTGGCTTTGATTGACTCTGATGAAAACAGACATTTCATTAAAAATTCAGTCTTTGCCACCAACAAAAACTGTGCATGGATTAATATGTATACTAAAATAAAATGGTACGTAATATAGCATATAAATAATTTTACCAAAAAAACTTATTTTAACAGTAAGTTTAGAAGAAGTCTTGAATCTTCCACCACATGTTGGGGAGGTTGCAGTGTATTGCAGGATGTGTTTGATTTAAAGCGTCCTGTGGTGTTTGGTTTCTTTTAAACTTCTGTATCCATTTAGTTTTTCTTAACAAAGTGGATTGCGTGTGGAATTAATTTCCTTCCTCATAAGACATTTTAAAAGCCATTGTTTTAAAATATCTTTCATTGTCTACTTGCAGTCCTCTTCTTCACTGACTTTGCTGCCATATTCCTAAATGTTTTTGTGCATTATCGCCCCCAACCGGTTGCTTATCTTCCTGTGAATGCGCAATACAAACAAATACATTGACCCACTCAGAAGCACATTGCTCCTTAGCGTTATTAGTGGCTAAAGAACCCTTTAAAATCTGGCAAGAAATTCCTGTCCAAAGATAGTGTCCTTGGGTCTGAGAATTTTTAGGTTTTGAAATGTGGTTTGTGTACCTGGAAGCGATAGAGGGATGCATCTGGTTTTATCACTAAGCGTTTGTGGTCTTGAAGAGGGTAGATGTATCCTAATGCCACCAGCATAGACCCAAAACTCCTCGCCTCTGAAGACAGCAGAGAGACAAGCAGGAGGTTAACTGTGGCGTTCTGCTTATACTCACATCAAGAGAAGGTTCATGGCTAATTCTAATTACTTGAAAGGTCAAACACTTAAACCTTACATGATAACATCATAAAAACTGGATTTTTAACACATGTACGTATATGAATGGCATCAGCTGCCTCATTTCTCTCACCTTGTGTGTCTATTTGGAATCTGTCAGCTAACCACGCAATTATATCTTCACCTGAGGAGAAAAGATGGTGGTCAGGGGTGACAAAATAGCAGTTACAAAGGCAGCTTTGACAGCGAACATCAAGAAATAAGTGTAGGTGGGCGAGTGCCTCCAAATGCCAGACCCCTCTCTGATACACCACGGCCGTCTGTGTCGATAGCCTCTGAGCCTCTACAGCTAATGTGGGGAGACAGATGGAGGAGGAGGAGGGGGGGAGATGAGGTCCGCGGAGGAAGCACAGCAAGAAACAAGGAGGAGAGGAAAGAAAAAGAAAGAAAGGAAAGGAGAGGAGTGGAGGGACCGGAAAGGAGGAAAGGAAAGCAAGGGATACGAGGAGAAAGGAGAGGAGGGGAGAGGCAGGAAAAAAGGAAAAGGAGAGAAGTGGAGAGACAAGACAGGAAATGAAAAGAGAATATATAAATGGAAAGGAAGGGGTGGGAGAGGAAAAAGGAAAGCACTGGAGAGGAGGGGAAATGAGAGAGGGGAACAAGAAATTAAAAGAAAGAAAAAAGGAGAGGAGAGGAGAAAAGATGAGATGCAAGAAAATGGGAGAAGAGGAGAAGAGAGGAAAAGAAAAGAAACAAGGAAAAGGAAGATGAGAAGGAAGAGAAAAGAGGAGAGGAGAAGCAGTTTCAGCTGTTTTAACCTGCCTGGATTCAAAGCTTGCAAATGACGTACAAGTCTAGGTTTCCTCTCTTCTCTTTCTCCTCCTCCGCCACCTCCTCCTCGCTGTCTCTCTTTGTTTTTCTCTTGTTTTCTGTCTCTGTTACTTGCGCTTTTCCTCTTGCCTGCTCAATCACCATCCTCCTCCTTCACCTCCTACTTTTTTCCCTCTCTCTGACTCTGAGACCGCGGGGGTTGTCATGGAGATTAAATCTGTAGCTCTCGAGTTTGAGCCCAGAGCTCTGGTATCCTCCAGTGAGACTATGCAGGCACAATCACTCAACCAGCTGCTGTATAATATCAAGTGTGTGCTGCTGTATGTGCATTCATCAGTGTGTGTGTGTGTGTGTGTGTGTGTGTGTGTGGGTCCTCTTTACCAGTAATAGCGTGTGGTATTGTTGTGATAACCAGTCTCTGAAGCTGTGACTTAACTCCTGTTTTGGGGTCCTGCATCTCCAGCACCACCTTCTCCGCCTGCAAAGAAATATTGGGTAAGGTGTGAGAGGAGGTTACGACGACCACTGACTGTGACTGTGTTAGTGTGTGTGTGTGTGTGTCACCATGCCAACAGATTGATTTGACAACAAGTTGCGTGTGTGTGGAGGAGGAGGGGAGGGGGAATCAAGGCAGCACATATCCTACTGTAATTTGTGGATAATAAAAAGCAGGTTTGATGGATTTATAAATGAAATCTGCTTCCTGTTAACCTATTTTAATGAAATATTTTGGAACGTGTCTCTCGCTGATCTGAAAACTCTGAGGCGAATTGCCCCCGTGGGAAAATACGGCTCGTAATGAATACTTCCTATCAGACAAACACTGGGATTTAGTGACTGTTATTGTCCAACTCTCTCTAGTTTTTTGTCCAAAAACGACATTACAATGAACCTTAACGCTGCATTTAAACATGGCGAGAGGTGAGATGAGGTTTGTGTTATGCCCTGATCTCATGGCTTCTGTTTGGCTTGTGTGTGGGAGGCGTTTGCGATGAGACACTGCCCTCTAAACAGTTTTTTAGTTATCATATCATCTGATCCCACAGCTCAGGTGTGTACTGGAAAGGAAGAAATCCAGTAATTTCATTCAGTTTTTTTTGTGTGTGTGTGTATGTGTGTGTGTGTTAGTATGTGTGTGAGAGCAGCTGACTCCTGGGCCTGTTTGAAGTGGCTTTGTGCTTTGAAGTCATCCTGGAGAGGCTATAAGCCCCAGGCTGAGCCGGACCAAAGTGGGCTTTCACAGACCAAAACTGGAAATGAGTTCTCTGTGAGCATTCCCCTGGAGAGTGGGACATTGTGAGTGCTTGGATCAATAGACTTAAAAAAATATATATATATTTTGCTAATGAAAGACTCTTTGTCTTGATTATTTTCCAATGCCAAAAGTTATCCCACTGTGATAAATATCCAGCGTCTGAAGCAGCTGAAGTGAATGAATTTGAAATGTGAGATGATGAATCGAGCCCCGCTCTGGCCAGGTTACCCAGGCTGTTGTTTTCCAATACTCAGTGTCTGGATTAACTTCTTTACAGTGGCTCGTCGGTGTAGATGGAGGCACTGATACTGATCCAGGCTTAATGCTTATTAAACTGAATGACCTTATCACTGTGAAAAGGTTGCAAGAAAACACAGTCTAACATTTAGTGTGACAGACAGATAGTGCGTACTGAAACCAAGATGACATTTGTTTGTTGTTTTGATGTCTTGTCATTCTGTAACATGTATTTCTGATTTTTTGGCTCTCATGAAATGTTCTTTTCCCCAAAGTCTGATCAATTGAGTGACTACAACTCAAATTTGCATGCATAATTAAAACATGGCACATTTGTTAACTGTGTTTTTTGCATTTCCTCAAAGCATTCTTAAAATACAAAGGGTAGAGCAAATGCCAATACAGCCAGGGTTTATGAGGTTACAGCAGACCACAACAGACCAATTGCATTGCGTTGGAGAATCCATATAAGTGACCTATCTATAGGTGCGTCTGCAGGTATAGTCTCCAAGCCTGAGCAGGGCTGTTATCATCATCTCTGATTTAAAAAGGATAGCTTACCTTCTTGAAACAAGCCATCCGCGGTCGATACCTCTGTCCATGATCCCGGATAGCGTTTCTAATGGTCATGGTGTCTGATGCTTTTCACCC